GTTGTTTGGTATACCGCCACTATGTGTCCAGCAAAGTGTTGGCATTATAATAACCTATACTAGACCATGTGATGTAGTCAGAACGTTGTTTGGTATACCGCCACTATGTGTCCAGCAAAGTGTTGGCATTATAATAACCTATACTAGACCATGTGATGTAGTCAGAACATTGTTTGGTATACCGCCACTATGTGTCCAGCAAAGTGTTGGCATTATAATAACCTATGCTAGTCCATGTGATGTAGTCAGAATGTTGTTTGTTATACCGCCACTATGTGTCCACCAAAGTGTTGGCATTTTAAAGAGGTTTGGCAATGCATTGAGTGTGGAGGCAGATGGATGAATTCTTCAGAGGACCTTGAATTATGTTTGTTAAGTTAAGTGACAAATGGAATGAAGGTCATTATTAGTAATTTTTGTAAATAAATATAAGTAAGTTTTGATTCTGCATTTCCATTCCAATTCAGAATGATCAAAAACTAGGCTAAATATTGTTTTTGAACTATGATTTATGGAAAAGATCTAAGATTGTGAAAAAATAATGTCAAACGACACAAAATATACCTAAATGCCTTCAACAGTATTTTTTTCTTGTTTTCTTTAGGTTTGCACAGTTTTTCCTCGGTCCCTTATTTACAGCATCTGCAACAGAACGGGAAATTAATGCTGTAAACTCTGAGAATGACAAAAATCTTCAGAGTGATCCCTGGCGTCTTCATCAGCTTGACAGATCTTTAGCCAAGCCAGACCACGACTACGTCAAGTTTGGCACTGGTAATATTTCTCAAAATATATCGGCTATCAATGAGTACAGCGACTGTGAACTCAGTTTGAAGGGTTTCTGTGTCAGTGTTGACTGTAGACTCATGTTGTTTACAAGTTTGTGATTTAACTGTAAATTTAAACTCTATAACAATTTGAAATATGGTCAAAACTAGTATTTCATTTGATCTGTTTGATTTTTAAGGCAACAAAGACAGTCTGGATACGCTACCGAAGAGCCGAGGACAGGATGTCCGGGAAGAACTCCTAAAATTCCATTCCAAGTTTTATTCTTCTAACATAATGGCACTTTGCATTCTTGGCAAAGGTGAGTTAGCATTGTTAAAACATTGTAGTTGTAAAATAACGGAACGTCTTCTCCTGGAAATATTACGTGATAATGCCTGTTTTTGGAAACAGCTCATTGACAATCCAAGTCTTGTAAAATTTTGTCAAATATTCATTAAGTAGTCACTATAAATGCAGTACCGTGAAAAAGTGGAATTAACAGTACAGTTGATCAGTCTCTCCTGAATCTTTGTGAAACAGATATACTTAACCACTTACTTATCTACAATTTACTTATCTACAATTTACTTACTTACCTACAATATACTTACTTACCTACAATATACTTACTTACCTACAATATACTTAACCACTTACTTATCTACAATTTACTTAATTACCTACAATAAACTTAATTACCTACAACATACTTAATTACCTACAATATACTTACTTACCTACAATATACTAACTTACCTACATTATACTTACTTACCTACAATATAATTACTTACCTACATTATACTTACTTACCTACAATATACTTAATTACCTACAATATACTAACTTACCTACAATTTACTTAATTACCTACAATATACTTAATTACCTACAATATACTTACTTACCTACAATATACTTACTTACCTACAATATACTTACTTACCTACAATATACTAACTTACCTACAATATACTTGATTATCTACAATATAATTACTTATCTACAATATACTTACTTACCTACAATATACTTACTTACCTACAATATACTTAATTACCTACAATATACTTACTTACCTACAATATACTAACTTACCTACAATATACTTAACTACCTACAATATACTAACTTACCTACAATATACTTAATTACCTACAATATACTTACTTACCTACAATATACTAACTTACCTACAATATATTTACTTATCTACAATATACTTACTTACCTACAATATAATTACTTATCTACAATATAATTACTTACCTACAATATACTTACTTATCTACAATATAAATACTTATCTACAATATAATTACTTACCTACAATATACTTACTTATCTACAATATAATTACTTATCTACAATATACTTACTTACCTACAATATACTTACCTACCTACAATATACTTACTTACCTATAATATACTAACTTATCTACAATATAATTACTTACCTACAATATACTTACCTACAATATACTTACTTACCTACAATATACTTACTTACCTACAATATACTATTTTACCTACAATATACTTACTTACCTACAATATACTTACCTACAATATACTATTTTACCTACAATATACTTACTTACCTACAATATACTTACCTACAATATACTTACTTACCTACAATATACTTACCTACAATATACTATTTTACCTACAATATACTATTTTACCTACAATATACTTACCTACAATTTCTGTTCTGTTTGTCACAGAATCGTTGGATGAATTGTCAGACCTGGTGGCCCCTCTGCTAGCTGATGTGATCAACAAGAACACCAGTGTCCCAGAGTGGTCAGAACATCCTTACGGACCAGAGCAGTGCAAGGTATCCTCCAGGACTCCTGGTTCAGAACTCTGAACTCTAAACAAAGTAGTCTCAAAGTCTCTGGGTTCATAGTTTAGAACCCTGTATATTGTGGCCACAAAATGTGTTCACTGGAACAAGAAAATGGGCTGGAGAACAGAAGACGAGTTTGAGCATGAGAACGCTATTGATGAATGCAGGCCCTGATCTCTAGCTCAGAATAGATGTTGTGGGTCTTCTTAAATAAAATGGAATCATAAATTGTTCAGCATATTTGTGAAGTTTAATGGGTAACAATGGTGAAGTGTACGCGTTGCCAAAGGGACATCACTCCATCCAGATATCAAAATGATTTCCATCAGGAACATTAACTCTAGTGGCTACTCCAACAGTGTAAGAGGTTTACATGGCGAGATACTTTTGACAGGCGTCCCAGTCGGCAATCCTATCCGATAGAAAAAATGACGACCAATGGCCTCTTACGTTATAGGAGTACTTTAGGTTGTAAGGTTACCATAACTCATGTCATGTCACAGCATCACATGTCCTTCTAGTTTTGCTCTGGTTACAATTTTATTTTTGAACCTACCGATACAAATTTATACCCCTCTTGCCATTTTCAGGCCCATGTCTATCCAATACAGTGTTATCGCTGAATATAGCAACACCATTCTTTGTTTGATCAAACTTACACAAAGGTTCAGTATGAGAATGCTTCAGAGCAGTTTGTATTTCAGGATTGCAAGGTCAAAACCAAGGTCACTGTTGCAATTTTAGAAAATAATTTTTAAATTCAGTGTCGCCAATACTTTTACTTTTCTAAACAGATTTAAACAAATGTACACAAGGTCAACTTTAAGAATACCTCTGATGAATTTTTGTTTCAGGGTACCAACGTTAAGGTCGCTGTTTCCTCCCATAAAAGAAATTTTTGTCACTCTGATTTTTTTTCTGGAAATTTTTTAATCAAAATTCATCCATTGGTTATAAAGAGGGATATTAGAATGTGTGATGATACCTTGAATGAGTTGGTATTTTAAAGTCGCTTAAATTTTATAGAAAATTTTATAGTTCTTTAAATCTAATTTACAGTATTTATACAAATAATGCTGACATTGACTGCATTGATAGGGTGCCGCGGAACTTATGTTTTGTCCGATTTTTTTAGACATTTGACCTCTTGGTTTTTTTCAGTTGATCTGTTATGCTTTGCCAGTGAAGGATGTGAGGAATCTTTCCATGTCTTGGTCAATCCCCGACCTCCATCCGTACTACACATCAAACGTGAGTAACTCACTGTGTGACACACAGCACAAACCACCACACATAACTACCCAACGAACGTGATTCATATATCCACTCTCTATTAATGCACCAAAGGGGAGTAACTCATATATCCATTAGAGAGTCATATTTAGATTTAGGTGGGGAGGATGGAAATAAGCTTAGAACCAAGCCGGTCAGGTTCTCACAAGAGCCATTAGCTGGTACAAAGTCACATTACTTTCCTATTCAAAACGCAGGTTTGTATCAGTTTGATAGGCTGTTTATGCTAAAGTTGGTGACCCAGGTAAGATAAACCAATGTTCACAAACACACTGGGGGTCAGCTATTCTGTTGAGATGATAGCAGTTACGATTATTAATAGTAACAACATTTCCCCTGGATTGTACAAGTTACTGAAGTGATGTAACTGTGTACCCTGTCTATACTGGGCTGGACTGACTGTTGACAGCAGGTGGTATTTTGTACAATGAGTGACAAAATCTTTGGGGGAAATATCTCCTGGAAAGATAAGTCATGTTAACTGCCGAGCACATGTATCACTGACAGCCGTGAGAGGGACACACCATTACATGTTACTGTTTTCCCTCAATGTATCACTGACAGCTGTGAAAGGGACACACCATTACATGTTACTGTTTCCACTCAATGTATCACTGACAGCCGTGAGAGGGACACACCATTACATGTTACTGTTTCCCCTCAATGTATCACTGACAGCCATGAGAGGGACACATCATTACATGTTACTGTTTCCCCTCAATGTATCACTGACAGTCGTGAGAGGAACACACCATTACATGTAACTGTTTCCCCTCAGTGTATCACTGACAGCTGTGAGAGGGACACATCATTACATGTTACTGTTTTCCCTCAATGTATCACTGACAGCTGTGAGAGGGACACACCATTACATGTTACTGTTTCCACTCAATGTATCACTGACAGCCGTGAGAGGGACACACCATCACATGTTACTGTTTCCCCTCAATGTATCACTGACAGCCATGAGAGGGACACACCATTACATGTTACTGTTTCCCCTCAATGTATAACTGACAGCTGTGAGATGGACACACCATTACATGTTACTGTTTCCTCTCAATGTATCACTGACAGCCGTGAGAGGGACACACCATTACATGTTACTGTTTCCCCCCAATGTATCACTGACAGCCGTGAGAGGGACACACCATCACATGTTACTGTTTCCCCTCAATGTATCACTGACAGCCGTGAGAGGGATACACCATTACATGTTACTGTTTCCCCTCAATGTAGCACTGACAGCCGTGAGAGGGACACACCATTACATGTTACTGTTTCCCCTCAGTGTATCACTGACAACTGTGAGAGGGACACACCATTACATGTTACTGTTTCCCTTCAATCATACAGCCGTACAAGGGACACATCATTACATGTTACTGTTTCCCCTCAATGTATCACTGACAGCCGTCAGAGGGACACACCATTACATATTACTGTTTCCCCTCAATCATGTCCTGCTTTGGCTTCGCATTATAAAGCACAAGTCATCTCTGAGACAAACAATCATGTTCTGGTTCACTACAAGGTCATCAAATGCAAATGCTGCTATGAAAAAAGTTTAAAGGTCATGTGACCATGCCTCAACCATAGACAGACAAGGGGTTACCATGTTCCTGAGTTTATATAAAGGACCATTTAAAGTAGATATATACCATAACATACGTAATCTTGTAACAAAATTACTATAACAGTGTATGTTTACATTGATGGCTAGTTGTTAGTGAGGGCTAATTATTTCTCCACCAGCTCAAAGATGACAGCCTCAAAAAATAAACTTTTTTTCAATTTTATTCCATTTCAGCAAAAAGATTTTTAGTCAAGTATTTACATACCTGTTAATTACATTTCAGCCTGGGCATTATCTAGGACACCTGGTCGGTCACGAAGGCCCAGGCAGTCTACTGTCTGAACTCAAAGCCAAAGGTAAAGTTTTTTAAAGTCCTATTCTGTTTATGTGTACTTATTTTCTTTAATATCAAATAATGTTAGTAATATTTCAGGTCATTGTTCTCTAATCAGAGACATAATGCTAGTGATATTTCATGTTATTATCCTTTGTACTTTTAGGCTGGGTAAACACTCTATGTGGTGGTCAGTCGAATGGAGCGAAGGGATTCATGTTCTTCAAGGTGGATGTTGATTTGACTGAAGAAGGCATAGGTAAGTTATTGTAATGTTACTAATGTCTTCTCAAGGACAGACATGTATATTGTTTCTCCAAAATAATGGACACCTTCATTGTTCCCCAAAAGGACAGACACCTTCATTGTTTCCCCAAAAGGACAAACACCTTCATTATTTCCCAAAAGGACAGACACCTTCATAATTTCCCCAAAAGGACACACACCTTCATTGTTTCCCCAAAAGGACAGACACTTTCATTGTTTCCCCAAAAGGACAGACACCTTCATTGTTCCCCCAAAAGGACAGACACCTTCATTGTTCTCCCAAAAGGACATACACCTTCATTATTTCCCCAAAAGGACAGACACTTTCATTATTTCCCAAAAGGACAGACATCTTCATTGTTTCCCCAAAAGGACAGACACCTTCATTATTTCCCCAAAAGGACAGACACCTTCATTGTTTCCCCAAAAGGACAGACACTTTCATTATTTCCCAAAAGGACAGACACCTTCATTGTTTCCCCAAAAGGACAGACACCTTCATTATTTCCCCAAAAGGACAGACACCTTCATTGTTTCCCCAAAAGGACAGACACTTTCATTATTTCCCAAAAGGACAGACACCTTCATTGTTTCCCCAAAAGGACAGACACCTTCATTATTTCCCCAAAAGGACAGACACCTTCATTGTTTCCCCAAAAGGACAGACACTTTCATTATTTCCCAAAAGGACAGACACCTTCATTGTTTCCCCAAAAGGACAGACACCTTCATTATTTCCCCAAAAGGACAGACACCTTCATTGTTTCCCCAAAAGGACAGACACTTTCATTATTTCCCAAAAGGACAGACACCTTCATTGTTTCCCCAAAAGGACAGACACCTTCATTATTTCCCCAAAAGGACAGACACCTTCATTGTTTCCCCAAAAGGACAGACACCTTCATTGTTTCCCCAAAAGGACAGACACCTTCATTATTTCCCAAAAGGACAGACATCTTCATTGTTTTCCAAAAAGGACAGACACTTTCATTGTTTCCCCAAAAGGACAGACACTTTCATTATTTCCCAAAAAGACAGACACCTTCATTGTTTCTCCAAAAGGACAGATGCTTTCATTGTTTTTCCAAAAGGACAAACATATTCATTGCTTTCCCAAAAGTACAGACATATGTAATTGCTTTTACTGTCAAAGTATCTGTTATTTATTGGTTGGTAAGGGTGTTTTTTTCCCCATTCCAATGATTTGGTGAATATTGTTTGTAGAGCATGTAGATGACATCGTCACTCTGACGTACCAGTACATTAATTTGCTGAGAAAGGCCGGAGCTCAGGAGTGGATATTTAAAGAATGCCAGGTGAGTCCAGAATTTTAAGAATGCAGACTGTGATAAAATGTATTTGTTCATGGATTCTACTGAAATAATTGAAATTTTTCAGCATTGTAATTTTCACATGTTAGTGTTTTATGCCTCTATCTGTTGCTCTGTGTCTCTCTCCCTCCATATGACATCTTGTTAAGATTTTTGTGTTTAGATCCTTTACTCCAATACTGAAACTCTTAAGAGTCCCACAGTCTTCAGAACAGTCAGAACTACAGCAATAAATCCAATGTAGGTCATTGTGACCTATATTTTCTACTTCACTGACTTTGGTTAGATTTGGGTCTAGATCCATTTCTTTGGACAGATTTTGTGTTTAGATCCATTTCTTTAGTTAGAATTTATGTTCAGACCGATTTCTTTGCACAGAATTTGTGTTTAGACCCATTTCTTTAGTTAGGCTTTACCTTTGTTTCCATTGAAGCGAGAACAGGAATATATGTGTGTTTTACAAACATCTTCTTGTTTGTTCTACTTTTCAGGACCTCAGTGCTATGACTTTCAGATTCAAAGACAAAGAGAAGCCAAGAAATTATGCGTCTGGTCTCTCTGGAAGTTTGCATGTAAGTTCTTTTATCTTCTTTAACTGACATTTTCTTAAATATTATAAGCTGACTTTTGTAAGCTTCACCTTCTTAGACCTTTGTTAGCTTGAACTTTGACCTTTCCTTAGTAACAGTCATTGTTACTAAGGAAAGGTCAAAGATGAAGCTTACTAAAAATGATGCTGTTTTGCATCATTGTTTCATTTATTTATTGTAAATTTTAAAATCATTACCTGACATAACAGACAATTTGCCAAAAAATTGTTAAAATGGCGAAAACAGAGACTTACAGTGTCATGAAAAACCCACCGATACCTAAGCTTGGAGAGATTCAGTTTCACCAGCACTGCAACTTTTTTCAATGAATTTCTCATGAAATTGGAGGAAAATATTATAATAAACAGTGGAAAATGCTGTTAGATTTGTGAAAGAAAAGTTTCTCTTGGAAAGGTGTATGTATGTTAGCTACTGTTTGAAGTATTCGAGAGCTGGGTTTGCACACTTTCCTTAGGAATGCTGGGGAAGATGAAATAGATCACTTCAAAAATTATCTCGTTGCTGTAACCTTTGACATTAAAACTTTGTGTTGTCATTCGACCTTTGACTTTTCTGTATTTTCATTTGACCTTTGACATTACGGGACCTTGATTGTAAATAACGACCTATATCGGCTGTTAATCTGACTGTTGAATATGCCATTTCAGCACATTGACTGTGACTGACCTCTGACCTCTAAACTCTGTTTTTTACTTTTGACCTCTGACCTCTGTTTCAGGACTATCCAATGACAGAAGCACTGAGTGGTCCATACCTACTGACAGAGTTCCGTCCAGACCTCATTAACATGATCCTGGAGAAAATCACACCCGACAACATGAGGTAACAAAATTGTTCATCCAGTGATGTCTGATATGTGTGTGTTATCTACCACAGGGACCACTACTGTCTGTTTGGTTACATACACATGGGAATCTTCTGTCAGAGTAAAAAGACCTGGGCCAGTAAACTTTCTTGTAACTCGCTTAAATTATGTGACATAGTCAAAAAGTCAAATGTAAAAATTGAAAACTGTATTCAGCCTTAAGTGTCTCGAAATAACTTCCAAATCTTTGGTTCAAACCAAGGATTAGACATTCAAGAACAGCACCCCAAGCATTGAGATTTTCGTTACATAATTCACCATAGGGGATGATTCTTTTCCTCTCATTCTAATGTTCCGAATATAATCTGTTTTTCTTCCCTGATTTCTGTGCACCCTCCTGTCAAAAGCTGATTGTGACATATCTCTTAAGTTCCATGACATTATCTTATCGTTCCATTGTATTGTATGATGTCACACCCGTCATACCCTCTCAGATGATTGAAAAATCTTGAAGGGTGGGAAAACAGATCAGTGATGTCCCTTTGTTAGATATCATCAGCAGTAACAGATCCATTGAAAAGATAGTTGGTACATGTTTGTGTTATAGTACTGTATATATTTCCCCCCTTTGCTGTCTTGCCTCTAAAGTACTGTATATACTTCCCCCCTTTGCTGATTTGCCTCTAAAGTACTGTATATACTTCCCCCCTTTGCTGTCTTGCCTCTACAGTACTGTATATATTTCCCCCCTTTGCTGTCTTGCCACTAAAGTACTGTATATACTTCCCCCCTTTGCTGTAGTTGGTACATGTTTGTGTTATAGTACTGTATATATTTCCCCCCTTTGCTGTCTTGCCACTAAAGTACTGTATATACTTCCCCCCTTTCCTGTCTTGCCTCTAAAGTACTGTATATACTTCCCCTCTTTGCTGTCTTGCCTCTAAAGTACTGTATATACTTCCCCTCTTTGCTGTCTTGCCTCTAAAGTACTGTATATCCTTCCCCCCTTTGCTGTCTTGCCTCTAAAGTATTGTATATACTTCCCCTTGCTGTCTTGCCTCTAAAGTACTGTATATACTTTCCCCCTTTGCTGTCTTGCCTCTAAAGTACTGTATATATTTTCCCCCTTTGCTGTCTTGCCTCTAAAGTACTGTATATATTTTCCCCCTTTGCTGTCTTGCCTCTAAAGTACTGTATATATTTACCCCCTTTGCTGTCTTGCCTCTAAAGTACTGTATATACTTTCCCACTTTGCTGTCTTGCCTCTAAAGTATTGTATATACTTCCCCTTGCTGTCTTGCCTCTAAAGTACTGTATATACTTTCCCACTTTGCTGTCTTGCCTCTAAAGTATTGTATATACTTCCCCTTGCTGTCTTGCCTCTAAAGTACTGTATATACTCCCCCCCTTTGCTGTCTTGCCTCTAAGTACTGTATCTACTTCCCCCCTTTGCTGTCTTGCCTCTAAAGTCCTGTATATATTTCCCCCCTTTGCTGTCTTGCCTCTAAAGTCCTGTATATATTTCCCCCCTTTGCTGTCTTGCCTCTAAAGTCCTGAATATACTTCCCCCCTTTGCTGTCTTGCCTCTAAAGTATTGTATATACTTCCCCTTGCTGTCTTGCCTCTAAAGTACTGTATATACTTACCCCCTTTGCTGTCTTGCCTCTAAAGTACTGTATATTCTTCCCCCCTTTGCTGTCTTGTCTCTAAAGTACTGTATATATTTCCCCCCTTTGCTGTCTTGTCTCTAAAGTACTGTATATACTTCCCCCCTTTGCTGTAGTTGGTACATGTTTGTGTTATAGTACTGTATATACTTCCCCCCTTTGCTGTCTTGGCTCTAAAGTACTGTATATACTTCCCCCCTTTGCTTTCTTGCCTCTAAAGTACTGTATATACTTCCCCCCTTTCCTGTCTTGCCTCTAAAGTACTGTATATACTTCCCCTCTTTGCTGTCTTGCCTCTAAAGTACTGTATATAAATCCCCCCTTTGCTGTCTTGCCTCTAAAGTACTGTATATACTTCCCCCCCTTTGCTGTCTTGCCTCTAAAGTACTGTATATATTTACCCCCTTTGCTGTCTTGCCTCTAAAGTACTGTATATATTTACCCCCTTTGCTGTCTTGCCTCTAAAGTACTGTATATACTCCCCCCCTTTGCTGTCTTGCCTCTAAGTACTGTATATTCTTCCCCCCTTTGCTGTCTTGTCTCTAAAGTACCGTATATACTTCCCCCCTTTGCTGTCTTGCCTCTACAGTACTGTATATATTTCCCCCCTTTGCTGTCTTGCCTCTAAAATACTGTATATACTTCCCCCCTTTGCTGTCTTGCCTATAAAGTACTGTATATACTTCCCCCCTTTGCTGTAGTTGGTACATGTTTGTGTTATAGTACTGTATATACTTCCCCCCTTTGCTGTCTTGGCTCTAAAGTACTGTATATACTTCCCCCCTTTGCTGTAGTTGGTACATGTTTGTGTTATAGTACTGTATATACTTCCCCCCTTTGCTGTCTTGCCTCTAAAGTATTGTATATACTTCCCCCCTTTGCTGTCTTGCCTCTAAGTACTGTATATACTTCCCCCCTTTGCTGTCTTGTCTCTAAAGTACTGTATATACTTCCCCCCTTTGCTGTCTTGCCTCTAAAGTTCTGTTAAGTATTTTTGTATGTACTTGTTAACAGGATTGGTGTTATTGGGAAAAAGTTCCAAGACAGAGTCAATGAGAAGGAGAAATGGTACGGTACAGAGTACATGGTGGAGGCCATACCTGAAGTAAAGCTGCAGGTAGGTCAATTAATTACATAAAAAATCACAGGTAGGTTTCATAATTCCCCCGATGACTTAATTCCATACAAAGGATAAATTTTCACAATTTTGACCTTAAATTAGAACATTTAATTTACACAAATTATAATTTCATGATCTTGAACATGTGGAGGAACTAAATCTTTGCGGATACTGTCTCCTATATCGACTGTCCCATTCAATTGATTTGCCATCTATTTTATTGAGTCTGACAGACTCGTTAACATCCCATAATTTACACATGATCACTTAACAGTTCTTGTAAACAATCATTCCCATCTGGTATAAGGATCTTCATGTTAAAGAATGATGTCAAATAAAGCTGATGTGTATATAGACCAAAACTAGTAGCCGTGCACTGAAGTAATTTCAGAAACAAGAAAACCAGTATCTTGTCAACTCATTTTAATTTATTAATATCACTGACCACTCCATGTATCTTAACTATGTAACTATATACTCACCTGTGATCAAACATCAATTCATAAATACACCTTGCAAATTTTTTACCTGTAAGTAGATATAAGCACAGCATACTCAAGCGTCGCCAGTTAAGGGGATTTTAAAATCTATTTGGCCGATCAGTTTGCTTCTAAAGTTGAGGCTTCATGAGAACCCAGTTACAATGTTTTAGACACCTAAATTAAAGTACTCTCAGGGGGGCTTCCTTTGATAGTGTGGTGTAATGGACAGTGAGCTGAGAGTACTTTGGCTTGATCACCTTTTAATAAAATCTTCATCTGTAACAGTGGAACAATGACCTGGTCAGATTGTGAAACTCTAATGGACTATTTGTTTGAACTCTCCTACAGCAATGGACATCATGCGGAGTGAATGATAAGCTCAAGCTCCCAGCAAGAAATGAGTTTGTACCTACGATCTTTGACCTGGCGCCCAGAGAAGTGGACGTAAGTTGATCGTCTTGCTCCCATAGCCAGAGAATGTTTATAACCTTAAAAAGGATGAGCTATAGTGCCTAGAGGTGTACCTAGATAAATATTTAATAAGTACCATCTCAAATGTTTTATGTATAGCATAACCACACTGACTGTAAACATGTGTCAATCTCATGATTTTCAAAAATATTTGTCTAATTTGTTTCCTGGCAATAGGAGCTGAGAAACAAAAATGGGGAAAAGGGGCATTGTGAATAGAATGATAATGTAGATACCATGGCACTTTACCTGTGGAACTCGTCTGTTTAGTGGAGAACAACCTATAAGTTACAATGTTATCAATTAGTATTACAATACTGAAAAATGATCCTTAGTAAACTTAGCCCAGTGAGGAAGGAATATTACTAAGGAGGCTAGGATAAAGCTGTTTTTATTGCCCTGATACTTTATAGGATAATGGTTGTTGTTATATATAACGGTATTGATACCTCGTGCCTGTCATGACTTTTGCATGCATCTTTTTCTTTCGCCGCAATGTTTACATTTGACCTTGTTGATGACGTGCATGCGGTAAAATTACATCACTGATCTGGGTCAATTTAGAGTTTTAGACTGTCAGGTGACAATTTAGGATTTCTTTAATATAATTATAATTTTTACTCTTAGGGAGTGAATTTCAGCAAAATTTGAATCGGCATGTTTCATACGAAGGTATTTTAAACATGTGTATGCCAATTTAGCAAATAGGACATTTTTTTTCCTTGACCAGCCCCTTTAATGAATATTTTTACTTTTATTTTAGCCGAGTCCTCTCCCAGAAATGGCAAAGGTAAGTCAAATATATCTGACAGCATTCACCTACAAGAATACTCGCTGTATTAGACAAAAAAAGAAAGAATTTGAAATTAATAGAAAATGAAGTACAAATATCATTGTATGCAGACAAGAAATAATTGATTTAATGTGCATACAACTCTAATAACCCTATTGATTTTATTTGTCTAATAGGAAGACAACGTGATCGTGCAGAATATTGAGTGGTTTATTTAGGACTTGATGATCATTAGAATATATTGCTGTGCTAAACACAATTGGCAGAAAACTCATTCTACTTTGTACTATGAAAGATTCCTTTCTTTTCTCAGGACAGTGCTCTCACTCGGCTGTGGTTTAAACAAGATGACACCTTCCTTCTCCCAAAAGCCTGCATCAACTTTGAAATCAGCAGGTTAAAACAAGGCCCACTTTAGACATTAATTAAATTTGGTGTGAAAATGCTCATGTTTCTTGCGTGGAGTAAATTAGAGTGAAAATATCTATGCATGAATATTTTTGGAGATTATATAGATTATAGACATTGTATAGATCAATACGTATACATTTCAGACCATTGTTGCCAGTGTATTAAAAATGTTCACATCACCAACAGTGTGAAGAGTTACCTCCTCACATGATCAGTATAGAAACACATGACACCTTAGAATTGACCGTACCTTTGTCAGATAATACAACTAACATGCTGCACAGATAGTATATCATACATGCAAAAACTCATTTTTCTACCAGTACTTTTCAGAAAGGGAATTTTAAATGTATAACCCCGGAAATTGTTTTGTGATATTTAAAACTAATTAGGTTGTATAATACGATATTAAGGTAATATTTGTTTCCCTCTATTTCAGCCCATTGGCCTACTCCGATCCCACCAAGTGTAACATGACCAACTTGTTTGTAACGCTATTTAAAGATGCTTTAAATGAGTATGCGTATGATGCTGAGCTAGCTGGCTTACACTACGACCTCAACTGTACCATCTACGGCATGTCTGTCAGTACTCACTAGTATTTGTCCCTGATTTAAGTAAATTTTAAGAATTTTTAGTACACTTTGTCTTTGATTTAAAAGTTTTCCAGGAATATTAGTAATAACTGTATATGTTGTAGCTTACCTGCTAAAGGGCAAGTTAGAGATTTTTGGCTAATCAGTTTCTTAGTGACCACTCCAAGTAACTACCATGTGTCTTAGTTATAAGTGACTTTAATAACTTATGGTTGTATAAGGCAGGTGGTCACTCCATAGAGTAGGTCATAAAGACATGATTTGGGTTGATCATGTTGTCTTATTGAAGTGATTTCCTGGTTGATGTGAATCGGTACCTGTATTGTACCCAGGGTTGGGATGTGTCTCTGTGAGACTCTATGTAACTGTGTGATTGGACAGTGGCTGATTGTGTGTTTTACAGCTGGCTGTCGGAGGCTACAATGAAAAACAGGATGTGCTCCTTCGCAAAATTATGGAAAAGCTGACAACCTTTAAAGTGGACCCAAAACGATTTGCTATATTCAAGGAAATGGTGAGTACATAGATCAGATATGGTAACAAGTAGGACTGATGTGTAGGTCACATAATAAAGACATATCGCTTATTATTTTGGTAACACTGTTAAATATATCTACAGCTATTTCATAATGTGATATGTTAAAGCAATCATTTATTGTACACAGCAACAATAAACTGTTTCTAGTATACAAGATAATAAGTTGTCTATTTTTGATACGATCTGATTTTAGTACACAAAGTAAACAGTCTATCTTTAGTTGACAAGGTCTACCATCTGTTAACAGTATGCCAGGTCAATGCGGAACTTTCAGGCTGAGCAGCCTCACAGACACGCAATCTACTACACCAACATCCTCATGTCTGAGGTCAAGTGGACCAATGAGGAGCTGATGCATGCTCTGGAAGGTAAGTTACCCGAGGTCAAAGGTCAAATATTGAACACATAAGTAAGGTTAACGTCATATATACAGTCCCTTAATATAGATCCTGATGTAGCTCCTACAGTCTGTATGTAGACACCCAAGGTCAGAGGTCGTCTTATAGAAAGGTCAGATCACTTGGGGTGAAATGTGCACCACTACTGAACAGAAAGTGAAACAACATTTTTTGCGAGTGTTCACATACCAGAATCTCTGAAATAGAATGATGAGGTCCTTGTTGACAGTCATACTAGTAAAAAATGAGCCAGGGAGACTTAGAGGGCATGGTTTTATTGTCTAATGTCACAATGGATCTATCAGGAACTCTAGCTCTGGAAGGTAAGTCCACGTGTGTCTTGACATATGATAACAAGCAGAGATAAGCCAGAGGTGATGTATTAAAATTAACTTTGATAAGCTTACGATATTGTCCTTGCTTTGTTCTAAGCATAGTATGTTGCCTGGCTTGGTTCTAAATGTATTTTCTGTTGTGCAGACATCACCGATGAGAAGGTACAGGCCTTTATACCAGAGCTGCTGTCCAAACTTTACCTGGAGGGGCTTATATACGGAAACTTTACCAAACAGGTAACAAATCAACATTAAGCAGTTCTTAACTTACAAAAAGTGTTCTGGAATAATTTCTCTTTTAATTGTAAGCATGTTGTTTTTAGCTCTTTTAATATAGCTATTTATGATTTGATACCTAGTTCTGCTGTCAATAACTCTATTGACCTATTGTAGAGATAAAGCCATTAAATACACTCCAAGCAGCTCAACAGGAAAAATCCTGGGAAAACACATTTACTGTATGTAGCCTGTCTTAAGCAGCCTGAAGATGTAAGAGTTGTGTTGTAAAGTGTTGTACTGTAACATGTTGTTGTGTTACAGAAAGCACTAGAGGTGACTGAGATGATTGAAGACATTCTAAAGAAACAGAGTGGAACTAGGTCACTGTTACCAAGCCAGAAAAAACACTTCAGAGAGCTACAACTGCCAGACGGTAGGTGTATACTTTTGATATTCTTACAGCTGTCTGACAGTAAGTGTCTGACAGTAGGTGTATACAGTTGATATACTTACAGCTGTCTGACAGTAGGTGTATACTGTTGATATACTTACAGCTGTATGACAGTAGGTGTATACTGTTGATATACTTACAGCTGTCTGACAGGATTTACAATTTACAATTTAACATGTTTGTTTTATTACATGGAGATTTTTCATAACACTATGGGAAGTTGTGAATAAAACTGTTAATAGAATTATAATAAGACCATTTCAGTATTACATATACCCCTCAACAACCAAAGCGCGCCAATATCAGCTGGAGGGGCCGAAGCATCTTGAAGAATAAATTTATGAACAGCTTTATTTTAATGCCGTTTTAAATGCTTAGAAGATGCATTTGAATCCTTATGTTTACAACAAAAAACAACTTATACAAAGTTCTTTTGGTTAAGATACATTTTGGAAAAGTTAATTTACCCAACATTTAAACAACTACTTTTGTGTCTTCTGTGGTTACTGTTTCTATGGTTAACGTTTTTGTCAGACGACAAATGTCAGTTGGAAGCCATTTAGAAATCTCTACCAAAGTTTGATTTTTTTCCTTCTGACATAACAAATCTCCAAATACTGTTGACAGTATGATGGTAAGTCATGAACAGTTTCCGATTGGAAAACATTAATTTATAATAGTCCTTTTTGCTTTAATAAGACTATTTTGAGTTGGTTGGTTTGTTGTTACAGGGTGTTACTACATGTGTGAGGAGACTAATCAGGTACACAAGAGTTCCAGTATAGAGATCTACTATCAGTGTGGTGTGTTTGTTGTTACAGGGTGTTACTACATGTGTGAGAAGACTAATCAGGTACACAAGAGTTCCAGTATAGAGATCTACTATCAGTGTGGTGTGTTTGTTGTTACAGGGTGTTACTACATGTGTGAGGAGACTAATCAGGTACACAAGAGTTCCAGTATAGAGATCTACTATCAGTGTGGTGTGTTTGTTGTTACAGGGTGTTACTACATGTGTGAGGAGACTAATCAGGTACACAAGAGTTCCAGTATAGAGATCTACTACCAGTGTGGTGTGTTTGTTGTTACAGGGTGTTACTACATGTGTGAGGAGACTAATCAGGTACACAAGAGTTCCAGTATAGAGATCTACTATCAGTGTGGTGTGTTTGTTGTTACAGGGTGTTACTACATGTGTGAGGAGACTAATCAGGTACACAAGAGTTCCAGTATAGAGATCTACTACCAGTGTGGTGTGTTTGTTGTTACAGGGTGTTACTACATGTGTGAGGAGACTAATCAGGTACACAAGAGTTCCAGTATAGAGATCTACTACCAGTGTGGTGTGTTTGTTGTTACAGGGTGTTACTACATGTGTGAGGAGACTAATCAGGTACACAAGAGTTCCAGTATAGAGATCTACTACCAGTGTGGTGTGTTTGTTGTTACAGGGTGTTACTACATGTGTGAGGAGACTAATCAGGTACACAAGAGTTCCAGTATAGAGATCTACTACCAGTGTGGTGTGTTTGTTGTTACAGGGTGTTACTACATGTGTGAGGAGACTAATCAGGTACACAAGAGTTCCAGTATAGAGATCTACTATCAGTGTGGTGTGTTTGTTGTTACAGGGTGTTACTACATGTGTGAGGAGACTAATCAGGTACACAAGAGTTCTAGTATAGAGATCTACTACCAGTGTGGTGTACAGCAGACGGACGCTAACATGCTGCTAGAACTCTTCATTCAGATCATCGGAGAACCATGCTTCGACATTCTACGTACCAAGGAACAACTAGGTGATCACTTTTAGTGACAGCTTTCATCTTCCCCACAATCCAACTTAGGCCATAGTTGGGTCTATGTCATTGCAAGTTAAAAGCAGGCATCTGTCAAATAAAGATGGAAATGAAAAATAATAAATGCAAACTCAGCTAGTGTCCATTTTGAACATAGAAGTCACAATTTATAGCTATGTATAGCTTTGTTTACCTGTAAAGTGTACACGACTATATTTCAGATTACCAGGATTTTCCCAGGTAACATTTCCTAACTGACCCAGATTTACCTCTCATTATTACTATATAAAAAATACCAAAAAAAATACACACTATCTCTGCATGAAGTAATATCATGACAATCAGCTTTTTATATTCACAGATTTACACTTTGAAATTACTTAATGTCATTTTTCCTTAAACATGTAAAACATAGTTAAGCTCATTAATTGTATGTACGTACATAATGTACATTTAAACATGATTAGCATGACTCCTACCAGTGTGTGGCCTATTCCTGTGTAATGAATACATGCCATAAATGGTTTAAACTTTCAATAAATATGAAAATACAGACTTGATGAATGCATCTGGTTAATTAATTTTCAAAAGTTACTATACTGTAGCCAATAGCATGTGTCTTTTGTAACTTTTCACAATTTACAAGCAATAAGAGATCCATATGATAACCAGCCAACACTGAGAAGTTTATGTACTGTATGACATGAAGTGTTTGTGGTGTATAAACATTCGTTGTTTTCCTGGTTGTTATTGAACCACGAAAATAAAAACAACAAATTTGAATGATATACGTGTTATCTACTGTTTGTTAATATATAGGATATCCATGAAAAGTTTGTACCACAAAGCAATCTAAATAGCTTCAAACCACGAAGGAAAGTACACACGAACGTGTTATACAGTATAGAGGTTCTAGTGGATTTACCTCACAAGTAGTCTGAAATGCTATCTCTGACAACAATAAATCCGATGATCAAAATAGAAACAGTAATAATTATTGCTATTTGATATATGCCTGTAGTGACTGAAGAAAAGTATCAACTTTGCATGTAAAAAAATCCAGACATTGTCTCAGGCGTTCATTAGATCTTGAAATATTGAAACAGATTAACGAAAAAATCCTTCTGTAAACAGGTTATAATATGTCTTATGATACATACATTGAAACTCTATGAAAACCTTTTTGTACACAGGATATATTGTGTTCAGTGGTATCAGGAGAACCAGTGGTGTTCAGGGGATGAGAATCATTGTACAGTCTGACCGTACTCCCCAGTACGTGGAAAACAGGGTGGAGGCTTTCCTTCAGAGCATGGAGGTAAGTCTGTATGTCTGTCTATGTGTCTAATTGTCTATTGGTTACTGACAATCATGTAAGTCCCCTGGGCTATCCATAACAGGTCACCTGGGCTATCCATAACAGGTCACCTGGGCTATGCATAACTGGTCACCTGGCTGTCCATAACTGGTCACCTGGTCACCTGGCTATCCATAACAGGTCACCTGGTCACCTGGCTGTCCATACCAGGTCACCTGGCTGTCTATAACAGGTCACCTAGCTGTCCATAACAGGTCACCTGGCTGTCCATAGCAGGTCACCTGGCTGTCTATAACAGGTCACCTAGCTGTCCATAACAGGTCACCTGGCTGTATATAACAGGTCACCTGGCTGTCTATAACAGGCCACCTGGCTGTCCATAACAGGTCACCTGCCTATCCATAACAGGTCACCTGGCTGTCTATAACAGGTCCCCGGGCTGTCCATAAAAGGTCCCCTGGCTATCCATAACAGGTCCCCTGGCTACCCATAACAGGTCACCTGGCTGTCTATAACCGGTCCCCTGGGCTATCCATAACAGGTCCCCTGGCTACCCATAACAGGTCACCTGGCTGTCCATAGCAGGTCACCTGGCTGTCTATAACAGGTCACCTAGCTGTCCATAACAGGTCACCTGGCTGTATATAACAGGTCACCTGGCTGTCTATAACAGGTCACCTGACTTTCCATAACAGGTCACCTGGGCTATCCATAACAGGTCACCTGAGACAACCATATGGGTCAGGGTTGCAATTCTTGACAATGACTGTATTGATAATGTCACTGTTTGGTTGATGTTTAGCTTACCTGGTCCAAAGTGAGCTTATGCTGTGCTAGGGCATTCGTGGTCCCTTCATCGTCTGTCTGTCCATCATCAATTTCTTAAACGACTTCTTAAAAACTACTGATTGGAATGTTAACAAATTTGTCTGGAAGCAGCCTTAGGTAGTGGGGATTCAAAATTTTGTAAGGGGGGGTATTCTCAGTTGGTTTGGTGGGGCTCAACATTGTGGTTATTTGGCCACATTGATTTAAGCAACTTCTTCTGTGGAACTAAGAGATAGCTATCAATCACATTTGGTTGGAAGTATTCTTAGATGGCAGGGATGCAAAAGTATACCAATTGAAGGGATGACTAAGTCCCTGGGTCATAACTTTGAAACAGTTAAGATCCTTTCCCCATAGTCATATATATGCAATAACAAGGCATAAAGAGATGAACACAATCATGTACCAGAATTAGCCTTGGAGTCTGCTCCCACCCTGAGGGACTTTATCCTAGATCATAACATGGAAACATTTAAGGTATTCACCCAATTACAATATACCCAGTTGCTGAGCAAGAAGATCTGGCTACACCTATGCTACCAGGATTGGGCCAGGGGACTGTCTGTCTGCTGTTCTGTATTTAACTTAACTTGGTGCATATCTCCTTTAATTTGTCACCTACAATAACCTATGATACATTGATTTATGTCTACTGTCTATTTATGTAAACACTTATTTATGTCTGTTTATGTTGATCATCCAGGCTTACATTAAAGACATGACAGACGAAAGTTTCCAGAAGCATGTGACTGCACTGGCTGCCAAACGCCTGGAGAAGCCAAAAAAGATCAGTGGCCAGCAGTCTAGATACTGGGGAGAAATCGTGTCTCAACAGTTCAACTTTGACAGGGGTAAGTTACTGGGGAGAAATCGTGTCTCAACAGTTCAACTATACAGGGGTAAGTTACTGGGGAGAAATCGTGTCTCAACAGTTCAACTTATACAGGGGTAAGTTACTTGGTGAGAAATCGTGTCTCAACAGTTCAACTTTGACAGGGGTGAGTTACTGGGGAGAAATCGTGTCTCAACAGTTCAACTTTGACAAGGGTGAGTTACTGGGGAGAAATTGTGTCTCAACAGTTCAACTTTGACAGGGGTAAGTTACTGGGGAGAAATCGTGTCTCAACAGTTCAACTTATACAGGGGTAAGTTTCTTGGTGAGAAATCGTGTCTCAACAGTTCAACTTTGACAGGGGTTAAAGTTACTGGAGAGAAATCGTGTCTCAACAGTTCAACTTTGACAGGGGTTAAAGTTACTGGAGAGAAATCGTGTCTCAACAGTTCAACTTTGACAGGGGCGAGTTACTGGGGAGAAATCGTGTCTCAACAGTTCAACTTTGACAGGGGTTAAAGTTACTGGGGAGAAATCGTGTCTCAACAGTTCAACTTTGACAAGGGTGAGTTACTGGGGAGAAATCGTGTCTCAACAGTTTAACTTTGACAGGGGTAAGTTACTAGGGGGAAATAGTGTCTCAACAGTTCAACTTTGACAGGGGTGAGTTACAAGGGAGAAATCGTGTCTCAACAGCTCAACTTTGACAGGGGTAAGTTACTGGGGAGAAATCATGACTCAACAGTTCAACTTTGACAAGGGTGAGTTACAGGGGAGAAATCGTGTCTCAACAGTTCAACTTTGACAGGGGTGAGTTAAAGGGAGAAATTGTGTCTCAACAGTTCAACTTTGACAGGGGTGAGTTACAAGGGAGAAATCGTGTCTCAACAGCTCAACTTTGACAGGGGTAAGTTACTGGGGAGAAATCATGTCTCAACAGTTCAACTTTGACAGGGGTAAGTTACTGGGGAGAAATCATGGCTCAACAGTTCAACTTTGACAGGGGTAAGTTACTGGGGAGAAATCATGGCTCAACAGTTCAACTTTGACAGGGGTAAGTTACTGGGGAGAAATCATGACTCAACAGTTCAAGTTTGACAAGGGTGAGTTACTGGGGAGAAATCGTGTCTCAACAGCTCAACTTCGACAGGGGTGAGATACTGGGGAGAAATCGTGTCTCAACAGCTCAACTTCGACAGGGGTGAGATACTGGGGAGAAATCATGTCTCAACAGCTCAACTTTGATAGGGAGAAGTTACTGGGGAGAAATCGTGTCTCAACAGCTCAACTTCGACAGGGGTGAGATACTGGGGAGAAATCATGTCTCAACAGCTCAACTTTGACAGGGATAAGGTACTGGGGAGAAATCGTGTCTCAACAGCTCAACTTCGACAGGGGTGAGATACTGGAGAGAAATCGTGTCTCAACAGTTCAACTTTGACAAGGGTGAGTTACAGGGGAGAAATCGTGTCTCAACAGTTCAACTTTGACAAGGGGGAGTTACTGGGGAGAAATCGTGTCTCAACAGTTTAACTTTGACAGGGGTGAGATACTGGGGAGAAGTCGTGTCTCAACAGCTCAACTTTGACAGGGGTAAGTTACTGGGGAGAAATGGTGTCTCAACAGCTCAACTTTGACAGGGATAAGGTACTGGGGAGAAATCGTGTCTCAACAGCTCAACTTCGACAGGGGTGAGATACTGGGGAGAAATCATGTCTCAACAGTTCAACTTTGACAGGGGTAAGTTGCTGGGGAGAAATCATGACTCAACAGTTCAACTTTGACAAGGGTGAGTTACAGGGGAGAAATCGTGTCTCAACAGTTCAACTTTGACAGGGGTTAAAGTTACTGGAGAGAAATCGTGTCTCAACAGTTCAACTTTGACAAGGGGGAGTTACTGGGGAGAAATCGTGTCTCAACAGCTCAACTTCGACAGGGGTGAGATACTGGAGAGAAATCGTGTCTCAACAGTTCAACTTTGACAAGGGGGAGTTACTGGGGAGAAATCGTGTCTCAACAGTGCAACTTTGACAGGGGTGAGATACTGGGGAGAAGTCGTGTCTCAACAGCTCAACTTTGACAGGGGTAAGTTACTGGGGAGAAATCATGGCTCAACAGTTCAACTTTGACAGGGGTAAGTTCCTGGGGAGAAATCGTGTCTCAACAGTTCAACTTTGACAAGGGGGAGTTACTGGGGAGAAATCGTGTCTCAACAGCTCAACTTTGACAGGGGTGAGATACTGGGGAGAAGTCGTGTCTCAACAGCTCAACTTTGACAGGGGTGAGATACTGGGGAGAAATCGTGTCTCAACAGCTCAACTTCGACAGGGGTGAGATACTGGGGAGAAATCATGTCTCAACAGCTCAACTTTGATAGGGATAAGTTACTGGGGAGAAATCGTGTCTCAACAGTTTAACTTTGACAGGGGTGAGATACTGGGGAGAAATCGTGTCTCAACAGCTCAACTTTGACAGGGGTGAGATACTGGGGAGAAATCATGTCTCAACAGCTCAACTTTGACAGGGATAAGTTACTGGGGAGAAATCGTGTCTCAACAGTTCAACTTTGACAGGG